TTCTTTGTGGCTTAAGTATTTTTAATCGTAAAGAAGATAATGCAAATACAAATTAAGGTATTTCATAATATCATTCGTTGCTAAATGTAGTTTTACTTAAAATTTAGATATCATTCCAAAGCTAGTCCACTACAGTCCTGATACGATTCTGTTGATAATCTCTAATCCGGGTAGGTTTGATCTTTAAGATGTTAATGATGTTTTTGGGCATGATAATTTTTATGATTCAGTTGACATTTTGACCTACGTGTCATGGAAAATCAGCGGGTTGCCAGCGGAACGTGTTATTGGATCGGGTACCAACTTGGACTCCGCACGACTTCGGTTCATGATGTCACAGGAGCTGAATATTGCTCCATCGTCTTGCCACGGCTGGATAATTGGCGAGCACGGTGACTCTAGCGGTAAGTGAGGCACGGCGTATCCTTTGTCTTTAGTTATCGGTCACTTTTAAGTCGCCGTCTGGTCTGGCATCAATGTTGCGGGTGTGACACTGGCAGAAATCAACCCAAAAATGGGCGAAGATGAGGACCCCGAGAACTGGAAAGAAATGCACCGAAAGGTCATCGATAGGTAGGAAATTTTGGAATGCGTTGATGAGCTTTATTTATTAAGATGATTGTTTAGCGCGTATGAAATCATCAGGCTAAAGGGCTATACGAGTTGGGCGATTGGCCTGTCGGTGTCCAGCATATGCTCATCGATAATGCGTAACCTGAGACAAGTGTACGCGTTATCCGTGAACATTAAGGTAAGTCAGTGAAACAACTTGAAGAACTTGTTGCCGTAAATGACCATCAATCTTCACTGTCTTTAGGGCATGCATAACATCAACGAAGAGATCTACCTGTCGTTACCATGCGTTATTGGTGAAAACGGTATTTCGCATATCATCCATCAGAACCTGTCCGAACGTGAGCTGGCAGATCTGCAACGATCCGCAAAGACCTTGCATGAAATTCAATCTCAACTGAATTTATGATAGCATATTTTTAACCGCGTAAAGTTTTATTTTGACTGTCACGCACCTGAATAAAATATTTTATTTTACATAGGTAAATTTTTCAAACAAAAACAGACCTGATCTTATGGGTTTACCGGCATATTGCTAATTTTCGATATCGCCGATAAGAGAAATTAAATTTTCTCTTTTGATACCGCCGGTCAATGGCACCGTCCCTTTGCTTCTGGCAGCCTTCTTCTTTTAGTGGCGGTATCGAAAACTAGCATTCTGCTAGTAAACCCATACGATCAGGTTTGCAGGTGTTCATGTATAAACATGCCTACGGAGAGTGGCATATCGACAGGTGTCAGAACAGCCCTTTGTTCGGCCCTGCTCAATGATACGGTTCTGCATCCAAGCATTGCAGGTGCTTAAATGCCATGGAGCCGTGTCCTGCTAGATTGGTCTTCTAGGCCGCCAGAATAAAGGGAACTGTGCTATTACGCCGTTTCAATCTGGTATCAAAAGAGAAAATGTTCATTTCCTCAACATGGGTCATAGGTAATCAGTAACCTATTCGACAACTCCATAATCAACTGCAGCTGCGTCAAGCATTGTTTGGTCTTGTTCTGTGAGAAAGAAGTGCAGTAGTAATTGTTGCAAATTGACTTGTATG